AGTTCTTAGATTCAGACCTGAGAGTCAGCACTCGGCTTGCACCATTTGCCAACGCCTCAAAGCTCGATTACGGCACTCGAAAGACATATCCAGCCATGCAAAGAATGCGGATTTGCTTATGAGGCATCTTCAAGGCCAATTCTTGGACAGGTCTACATATTGGAGCATGAGAACAAGGGCCAAGCGTGACATGGACGTTTTGACTATCATTACAGATAGCATGGACAGAGGAAAGTTCATGCTCCCAAAGTTTGTCAATGGCAGAGCTCCCAAAGATCTGGCCAAGTTGATTCGCCCCAGTTGCGAGGTTACAGCAAGCATTGTTCATGGTCGACTGGTTTATGTGGCTATTGCGGACGAAGGTGAAGCTGCGGGCTCCTCGTGGGTCATGGAAGTTGTCAGTCGATCATTGAACCTTGCATATATACAGGCGCAACAGCGGAAGTATCAATGGCCCAACATCTTGAAAATCTTTGCAGACAACACACCCAAAGACGCCTATCAAACATCATAGGAATTTATTGTCAGGCTTTCAGGTGTCCACCAACTGCATACAAACGTGGCTACTCATCACACACCAGCTGAGGAAGTGAAGAACGGGATCTTTGGCAATTGGTGCAGCACACTTTGCAGCTGCGGAATCTTCACCACAATATCTCACGAGCATCTTTGCGTGGGTCATACGCACGAGGATGTTGGCAACTTGGGCGCGCATTATTTGCAGTGCTTTGTTTGATTGCTGGTGTGCGATTCATTCACATATTTATGTTGCCTGACAACTACCTAAGATGCCTTCTTCGGGCTTCTCACCAAATTTGTGAGAAGTGGTGATGATCGAGTGTGCCTTTGCTTGCAACTGATGAAGCCCTGTGCACATGTGGTAGTCTCATTCCTCATTTATTTCCCAGTTTACTGAGTTACTGTGAGGCAAACACCACATGACATTGTGGCGTTCAATCCTTAGAGATGTGTGTGTATTCAGCTTGGACTCTCATGAAACTTGACTGAGCTGAGACTTCTTCGTCAACGTGTGGCGCCCATTTTTGAGGAGAAGGGGTTTCAGTTTGTTGTGGAATATGTTCAGTCAGTGCGAAACTGGAAAGCAAGCCTTCCGCAAGTGGCTGACCTGTCTGGAGCGTACAGAAAGAGGGACAAGAAGGATGAGCGGGTGATCCCACACTCATTCACCTTTATTCAAAGATCTCGTATCTAGTCTCAAAACAAGTTGTGCTCAAGGTTTCAAACTTGTTGCCATTCTGATATGTGTGTTAGCAGTTAGCGTGTTACCTGCCTGTCAGGTATGCCCTCCACACTTCTGAATGAGGCCCAGACCAGACTTCCAAGGAGGTTTCGGCCTCGAGGAAATGATGTCTTCTGTTTGGTGAAGGCGTTTGTCAGTGACTCTGGACTTTCACAGCCAGCGCTTCTAGTCCTTCCTGGAGACACTGTGGAAGATACTGTGAGCCCTTCTCTGGTCAGCATTGCTGAATCTCGCTGTGCCAGAAACTTGCCAAGTAAGTGAACTTGCGTGAATCTACTTGAATGACCTTGTTCTGGCTTTCTGTGTTTCACCAAACCGCCCAAATCGTTGTCAGCTGAGGAACTGCATTCTACCTCGAGGATGAGCGGAAGGAAGTCCTCAGTGAGCTTGCTGATTGCCTGGCCGAGCAGTACCCACAGTATGGGTGCGGTGTAAAATATTTGCGAATGTTGTCTGGCCAAGTGGCCAGGCCTATACAGGAACCTCCCAAATTGGACTTTTTGTTGGCTGGAAGCAATTGTCCTTTGCAGCGTGGACAAATTGTCTTGCCCCATCCTGAGCCACATAGTGTGCACCGACTTAATGTCACTTTTCACCGGTATCATTGAAACCAGGTGCTTAGAAAGCCTTGGAGTGGGGAGCCCGTGGCACAAAAGACATGGAAGCTGTTTCTCTTAATGCTGTATTCCGCCAATTGATTCAAGCCGACTACTTTTCCATCAGTCAAGTAAGTGTGATCATTTGAATGTCAAACTTGCCTCATTGATCGTTCTGTGAACTGTTGAACCCTCCCATGTTCAGAGGTTGGCTCTAGCGTGGGCCATCAGGGTGTGGGGCGGGGCCGACACAGCCATGGCCCTGGAAGCGAAACTTGAGGTGAAGGCCGGGATATGGATTTCATGAATGGCCTAGCTGCTCTGCGGTCCCACACTGCAGGCCGAAGACTCAGAAAGTGCAACACCCGATGGAAAGAAAACCTCACTGAAGAACAAGCTGTTGGAGACTTTTGAAGAGGTGGGGTGTAGTGTTGGTAATAACTATTCATCAACATTCATCAAGGACAGATTCTGTGCATGGTGTGCTCACAGGTATGCGCTGACATGACCCTCGGGGAATTCCTTTGGGAAAATCATGGAAAGACTGAAGAACAGCAACTACAGTTTACCAAGGTGCGGCTGAGTTGAACTACAATCAGCAGTTGAACAGTTAACATATTATCACAAAGTTGCTGAAACTCCCTGAAGGCGATGGCTGACCTGTTCATGATTCCGGAGGTTGCCAAGTTGATCCACCCACCGGGCCCGCTGCTGAAGACTGTGCCTGCAAACGCCAGGACCAACGTCTTTTGCTCACCTTGGCAGCTGGACATCTCTGAGGATGCAAAGGTTGGAAGATACCCAAGCATGGTGCAAACACGGGCCCATTTGCCTAGTGTGGTTTGGAAGAACTACCGTTCAGAGCTGGAGGCCTTGGATTTGAAGTTTGCAAGCGCACCAGGCTCTGACACCGACCAGTATTCCATTCGCTATGTGGATGGACACAATAAGGGATTGATGGTCCAGGGGATCCTAGCGTTGGTGATCCACCTTGCAACTTGGCTGCATGAGCTACCTTCTTCATAGCAACGTGTAAAATGCAAGAAGTAAAAGTTGCGTTGCAAGTTGCATGGTTTGATCAAGGTTTGTCCAAACAATTCAGGAGCTCACAGAAGAACAGATCTCGGAGGACAAAGATCTATGTGAGCTTCTTGCTTCTCTTAAGTATCTTCGTGCAAACTATACACCACGCTCTGAACCAGAAGCTTTGTACGAAACCCTCTGTGCCTTGACTACACTCAAACTCTTTTGGCGTGATTTGAAAATTGTTGATAAGAGATTGATTCAAAAAAGCGTGTCGCTCCAAATCAGAATCAAGGCACTGCCCACCGGACCAGTGAGAAGCAGAAACCTGGTCCCGTGGATTTGGGGCTCCTTTTCAAAGAGGTCATCCGTGTGAAGAGGGTCAGTGGGTGCAATGCCAGTGTTCGAGAGATCTTGTTTGCATCCATTGCAGAGTACAACCGGATGTGCACTACAAAGGCCGGTCAATCAATGAAAGTTACACCTGGGAACACCTTGGATTGTTTCAACATGTTTCAACCCTGTGAGGCATGGCGCATTACAGAGGGCACCAAGCGCTTCCTTTACAACTTGCTGCGCTGTGGGAATACCTTTTTGGATATTCTCAAGAAGGCCACCGATGATGTCCCTTGGAATTGGTCAGGCCAGGAGACAAAAACCGTATTGCAAACAAATTGAATTTCATTGAAACTGAAGAGTTGTCCCCTTCAGCCTTCACCCTTGAGAACATGGATGGTGGGGAATGGTTCGTACCTGGCACAACACTGGGTGGCTTGTCTGTGACAGACCCATTCTGGAAGCAGGTCAAGGCCTGGTAGATAAGTGCAAAAAGATTTGTTTTGTGGTGCTGACCCATCCCGTCTCGACTGTCTTGACCCATTGTCCAGCCCTGCTGAGACCATCACAGTGGAGAAGGTCAACCTGTGGGCACATCGAGCAGTGGAGGAGCACAACCGCAAGGCTCCACCACGGACAAGTTCAAAGAAACAGAAGGCCGGTCAAAGTTGCAGTTGTCTTGGGACTTGATTCAATTTGAATGTATTGGAACTTATTATGTCTTAACTGACTGACCCTGTCTCCCTGAGAAAATGGCTCAGCGCGACACTGCTGGATTGCAAGACTTGCTGGAGATTTGTGCACTGTGGAACCACATTGAGTCGGACCTCCAGACCTACTTTGGCAAGGGCGCTGAGCTTGACAAGATCAATGCAATGTGGAACCAAGGGATCCCTGGCTTCTAACCATAGTAACTTGAAATCTTGATGTTAACAGTTCAATGTTTTCATAATAAACACTCTGAAATTCTTCCAAAACAATGTAAAAATCAGATCCAGAAATCTACCGGAAAAATCCTGCGAAATCTAAATTTCACAGGATTTTCAAATAACAAAAATTTGTGGTGGGATTTTGAGATGAGTAGGAAAGATTGTCTGAAATCGCTGGACCCTCCATTGGACAATGATTTGTACAGTGAAATCTAAATTTCACAGGATTTTTGGGCAATCCAACCCGGCCTTGAAAATACAGTGGTTCCCAAGATTTCCAGAATTTGGCCACGCTCGAGTACAGTGATTTTTAAAAATCGCGGTACTGGCCCAGCAAAGCGTCATCGGCCTACAAGAAGAGCCTGGTCAGTGCCTTTGAGCTCTTCAAGAGCAATTTGGAGCAAGACCAATTGCTGCGAAGAAGATATGTCCAAGCAGCTGTTGGCGATGAGAGCCGAGCTCGGGCAGCCATCGTGGACAGCTTGGAGGCTGGGGTGTTGCATTTAAATATTGGGTGCATTGTTGAAACAGACTTGATGGAAAAACGTTTCAAAAAAGACACTGGCCCTGGCAGAAAATGCATGGCATTGCTTGGAAGCTGATCAACACCTTCGTCGGTGACAGTACTCCAGTCTGGTGCAATGCCCCTACTTCAAGGCAGAAGGAGTCTGGAAGTGCTGGAGTCTTGGTGATATTTTGTGATTGAATCAAATCAACATGTTGTGTTAGTAAGGCCGTTTTTCTGCCTAGTAGAATCCATAGACCAACATGTGGTGATCTGCTTTGGCTAGATTGAAAGTTTCAGGTTAAGTTCAGGAACAGTTGCACAGCACGCAATCAAGCAAAGGACCGGACATGGATGTGGACACCACCTCCACCCTGAGTGGCAAATTGCTCCCCTGGCTTGAATCCACTTTAGCAAGCCTGAACAATGGAATCCGCAGGGTGGACAATGAGCTTGTGGTGGCATGGGTTCCCTACCCTGTGGCTGGAGTGGTATCGGTCTCAAAGCAGCACTTCCTCATCAGCCAGATCACCGCCTTGGCCAACCATTTTCCCAAGTCCTTTGTGGCCGTGCTGGCAATGCCCAATCGGGCTGCAGATCTGGAGCGCTGCAAAGTGCCCTGCTAAGTTGTGACCGTTCACAAATGGCATGAATTTATAACTTAGCAGTTTCTTCAACTTAGCAATATTTCCCTTCTCAACTCAGGGCAGAGGTCAAGGGAGAGGACTCGGAGATGGAAGAGAATTTGAAGATAGAGAGTACAGGCTGGATGAATAGCACGAGCTTGGCTGAGATCAAAACAAGTTTTCAATGAAAAAAGTTTTCAATGTGTGTTTGACAGGCGACATCGAAATAGATGAAGATGATGAAGACGAGCATGAAGACAAGGGTGGCTCTGATGGCGCTGAAGCTATTCTACGCGATTTCCAGTATCAGCTGAAATGTCAGTTTATGGAAAAGGGCCGGAATCTTCGTGTCACTTGGCTCTATTCATGCCACTTATTTTACAGACTGTATGTAGAATACAAACTGCTTCACAACCCAAAGCAAACCCAAAAACGAACTGCCTTAAGAGAACCCCCCTCACCAATCAATGTCATGATATGCATCGACGTCAGGTCCGCCCAGCAATGGTCAGCTTCCAGCCTGAGAGTGTCTATGGTGCCCGATCAGCTTTCCATGAATGCGTCCTCATCACGGCCAACGAGAAGGGCAACGCGGTGTGGAAGTCAAAGTTTTTCAAAACTGGACATGTTCATGGGGTGACAATGCTTCAACGTGCAGACATGCTCAAGATCCCCAAAGACAGCTACGGCTCAGAGAAGCGCTTCACACAATCTCAAGAGCAACGGCAGGCTTGGTCTTGATTGCAGAACACAGAAACAAAAACATATTGACATTGTTTGAACCCTGCCCCAAAGAAAACATTCTTATACCAAGTGGTGGTCACGGCTCATTTGAATTGAACATGATACAACCCTGTCAGCATGTGGGCGGCTCCAGCTTCATCGGCAAGGTCATTGAGGCCCTGACGCCATCCAGCTCCAAGCCTGCAACGGTGATCATTGACATGTTGGGCTATGACGGCTGGCCTGGGGTTTTTGCTCTGCAAGAGATTGCTGCAGGCTACTTGAAGAACAACCTTGCAGACTTTTGTTGGTTGATCCACCTAAGTTAGTATGACTTAGAGATTCAATCTTCTTCAAATTGGCCAGATTCTAATCTTCTTTCAGGCCGTCAAATGGCAGCTGCAACAGTGGGGCACACACAAGCTGAAGCGGCCTGGTGCACCAGTGTCATCGGTGGCCGCTGCTTTGACCTTTGCCGTTCCCAAGCTCTGTCCCTCCCTGGGTTTCCGAACTTCAAGAAGGCTGTTGATGAGCTACGCACTCAAGCCCCGCAACCTCATCCTACCTATGAAGTATGCATGTGCATTGGTGACAGTTTAGTGGTGCGCGAAGCTCTGGTGGAGCAATGGGCTGACAAGCAGGACTTTTCGTCAGAGTTGAAGCGGCTGATGGATGAGCACAACAAGGAGTTCAATCCTCGTGGAATCAAACGAGGCAGTGCACCCAGTGCTGGATCGGTGGAGAGCCCTGCAAAGATGCTGTGCGTGGCCGACAGCAGCATGAGCTTGGATGAGTTTGAGACCAAGTTTGCAGAAAGGCCTGGGTCTTGAGTTTGATGAAACCATGAGTATAAATAAGTTCAACCAAACATTAAGCTATGATGACAGCTTGACAAAAAAGATTGTGTTTGGCTGTAATGCTTTGTGTCTTGCACTCTTTGTGTTCTTGCATGTCCAAGTGACAGCTCAGGCAAGACCTTCCTACAGGGAGTTGGACCATGAGCCTTGCGTCAGAGTCTTTGTTCTTGCATTCCAATGAGGACCACGTGGTTGCAGAGCACGAGGAGCTATGTGGATTTGGGAGCGGAGACTTTGCAAAGGCCGCGGAGGCCAAGGACATCATGAGCGACTGCAATGGGCGATGGGCGCTCTTTGACCTATCCGGCAAAGCCAGTGATCAATGGGTGGTTCTTGAGCACAGCCGGAAGCTTCCTGAGCACCTTCGGGAGCTGGCCATCTACAACAAGGCGTGACAAGTAAAACTACTTTGAACCTAGTCTTGAAACTGTATCTACACAAGGTGTATCCTCAATGTTCTTCAATGTATCCTCAATGATTGCAGGTGATGCCCATGTCAGACATCCTGGTGGCTATGGAGAACGCAGGGGATGTCAACACAGTGATTGCGGAACACAAGGCTACCAAGAATGACGTGGGCGACATCCAGGTTCAAGCTCTGGAGAAGGTGGTATTTGTCTTGGACCCGCCCCGCGAAAAGAAGAAGAAGAATAAGGCATCTATGATGATTGACATTCGTTCAAATTCATGAGTGTTTGCGTTTCAACTCAGGTTTTTCTTTCCACTTATATGTCAGGTGAATGCCATCAGCTTTGGAGCACTCTTCCCATTTGCAAAGCTTCGCGCCAACCAGAACATCAAGATCATTTGGCGTATGAGGTGCCTGGAAACGTCAATCAAATTTGATGTAACTGGTCTTGGAGTGGCTTCTGTGTCCTGATCTTTGCTGACCATTGTCCCCTGAGGATCCACGCAGAAAAGCCCGATGCACGCCAGCTTGTGCCAGTGAGGCCTGTGGCGGTGCTGAGCGGTAGTGTCAGCTTGAAGTCAAGGACAGCTATCAAGCTGATGTAGAGCTTTTGGCCGGTGATGCCGGTGAGATGTTGGGGGCCTTTGAGTCTGTACAGTGCCACTGTACGTAGGCTGAAGCCTTGGCCTGGTTGTGACCTGCATACTGCTTGAAAGCTATAATAGAGTCAATCCATCAATTGACCCCATGACCAATCATTTTGATGTCAGCTAACCAAAAGGTTTCAGAAGTTTCAGATCAGTCTTCAAACCAACACCTTTAAAATGACCGCCTATAGTCCAATCATTCTATATCCAGGTTCCACCAGGTCAGGGAAATCCATAAGGGGTTGCAGAGATCTCGGAGGACCTCGGAGAAAGCCGTAGAACTTCGGAGAACCTCTCATCTTTTGAAGCAAGCCGTAAAGACAGCTGTTGGTGAAAAACTGAGCGCTTCTTTCCAATATCTCATCTCACTTACTCCCAACAGTGAAGCATCTCCAGAGTCAGTTGATGTTTGTGAATTTGTGAGCACTTCAATGCATTCAGGCTCCATTTTGTAGCTTTGTCTGGTGGGTTCCCCTGTCGGCTTTAGCATCGTTGCCATGGAGAACTTTCAGTATAAGCCGAAGTTCGATGCCAACTCCTACATGGTCATGATTGGGACTACGACTATGCCCAAAGCTTCGGCGCCTCCTTCCGCTTCTCTTGCCCGAGCCTCTTCATCGACAGCCTTGGATTTGACAGCGGCAACAGGACTGACTTCCCTCTGACTCTTACTATTCAGTTCTGTTCTTGTTGTTAGGGTGGACGCTGTTATTAGCTCTATGCACTGTGAGGAGGTGGGTTGTTTCGGCGCTGTGATGTCTCTGGTTCTGGCAGCGATTCTCAGTCTCCTGATGACTCCAAGAAGGAGTCTGAGAAGGACAAGGCGAAGGACAAGGGCAAGAAGGCGGAGAAAGCAATCTAGGAAGAGAAAAAGAAATCAAAGAAGGCCAAGAAGGCGACAGTGAAGTTGAAGAAGAGCCGCCAATCGATCGAGATGATGAGGACGCCCTCTTTGGTGATGATGACGACCACGATGAGTTGGACGATGAAGAAATGATTGTCCACAGGCGGCCATCTTGCAAGCGACCAGCAGCTGCAGCTGTCAAGAAAGACAAGAAGGAGAAGACAGAAAGCTCTGGGAAGAAGCAGAAAAAGAACCGTAAGCATGAGGATGGAGATGACCTGGATGAGTTGCGAGACCAGGTGATGAGGTCAATGACCCAAGCTGAGCTAGCTGAGAGCCAACAGCCTCTGGATCATGAGGAGGAGTGGTTCTATCCGGAAAGGTGCATTACATTACATACTCACATTCTACAGGACCTATCTACCAAGGCTACCCCCAATCAAACTTAATTCACACCATGCGACATGGCAAAGTACTTACTGTACCAATTTGTTTAAGCTTTGTGCAAAAAGACTTCCAACTTTAAACTCATGTCAGTCATCTGAGATTTGGACCAGGAAGAAGTGAAGAAGTCCTTGGACGGCGAATTTGGCCAAGCTGGTGATCTCCATCCTTCCCAAGAGATTGATGCTGATGAGCTTCCTCCAATCTTTGAGGACTTTGAGGGATGAAAAGTAAGTGTTTTCTGTCTAAAAAGCTGAGTGCCCAGCACTTTCTGTCAATGATGAAAGTGCTTTCGCAAGGATGAAAATGGACAGGCCTGGAGCTCAGCTGATCTGCTTTCAAGTTCTTACTTGAGGGGTCTTCGGGGTTTTGCTGTGCAAGGATGATGGCAGAGAGGAGGTGGAGGTTTATTGGGCCACAAAGTTCTTGGAAACCTATGTGGATTATTGCAAGGCCATCGAAGCAGCCCCCGACAAGAAAGTGGACCATGGTCACCATGATGGGATTGAGAAGGACCCTCTCTTTGTCTCAATCTTGTCAGGTCTTGCTTGTTGGGACTCGTCTTGCCAGGAATGCCATACACCTGAATCAAGATGTTCAAGCATGGCGACAACGCTGCAACTCAACCCGGACTGGGACTTTGCACTTCTTTGTTGCTTCATGTGTTTGTTGGTGGTGCTCGCTTAACTAACATTGATCAAGTGGCCTGGGTTCAAAAAAACAGCTGTTGGGCCAACCTGCCCACATCACACCATCTAGTGTGGCCATGCCCTAATGGAAGAAAACTCATTGAACATCTTTAACTCTGTGTGGTGTAAAAACCGCAATTTCATTAAACGTCTTGAATGCATCAATACAACGATGTGAAGCACCCTAAAGCACAACCCCCTTCCATAACAACTGATTTGGGGAGAAGCTTTTGGAGGACATTGAGTTGACGCTCCTCCTCCATATCTTCTGTACAAGTTGATTTCTGTCTACAGCTACAACAACATCCTGGAAACACTGCCACGGCAGAAATTTGCAAGAAAACCAACTGGTATCTAAGCTTTGACTGTCTAGCTTAAAACATTGAGAGACACCTCAGCTTGAATACTACACTCCTCCCAGGAAAACACTGTGCATTGTGAAGGCCCTGGTACCTCTTCATAAACCAAAATGGACGCCTAGAACACAATGTTTTTTTGCGTTGATCAAGCCGGCTGCAACCCTGAGACACCGGCAGATGATGTCCAGATCATGCATTACCTTCCAATGGCCACATTTGGTGAGGAGTTCTCCAAGGGGGTGGCTCCAAGAGTTCTCCAACAGTTACGAACAGGGGTGCAAACCATGTTTCTTGTGTTGGGGGAGGCTGAAGGCTGTCAAATGAATACAAACTGAAGGCTCCCATCTGGGTCATGAAAAAGACAACCATCTCGGTATATCAAACTCTGTACTACTGCATATTGATATCTCTCCTGCTACATGTCTCGTGATGCATAATATCAAACTCACTTACCGTCAGGATGTGTGGGAGACTTCGTGGCCATTTGCAGAGGATTCACAGGTGCTGGGCCCAGCCTCCATCAAACAAGTTTGGGGCTGCCATTGCACTGTGCGAGGCTGACTTTGAAACACACTTCGCCCAGGAAGTCCGAGCCTTACATGTCAATTTCAACTCTTATTGTCGACCGGTCATATCCGATGTTCTCACTCCAGGTGAAGCCTGAAAATGTTGAGAAGGACTTGGATGTTCATGCAGGCTGTCTTCATGTGTAGGATGGCTTGTATTGTTTTGCTTGCAGGACGTTGGCGACTTCAAAAGCACGGCGATCGGCGCGGCCAACTCTGAGCAGGACAGGGATGTGTTCTTTGAACTGTGTGGATCTAAGGGCTGTGATCTGTCTGGTTTCACTGGCAGGGATTGAGCATGGAGACTGGTCAAATTACCGTTTCTTCCTCAGTGACACAATGGGAGTCACTGACATGAGAACTTCCTTATCTCAGGTGGATCTCACCATCGCCAGCGAGGGTCCTAGTGAGGCTGGTCTCAATGGATAAATAGTTGTTTCGCTGCTTTGTTCAACAACTTGCATTAAAAAACGTTGCAACTTTCTTTGCAGGCCTGCTCTGATTCCGCTTCACAGAAGGTGGGCCCTGAACATTAGTCTGAACATGGATGAAGAGGGAATGTTTTAATTGTTAGTGGCTTTCTTTGGGAGGCAGTTGTGGTGATTCACCTGATGTGCACGGGGCTCAGTGCTATGATGTCCAATGGTTCTTCTTTGCGTCACTCTGTGGTTTTTGATGTGATGAGGATGATGGTGGAACAGCAAGATGTACTACGTGCTGTGGCCACACCGATGTCTTCTGACATGGCGAGGGTGGGTGCTGAGGCAATGGGTGCTGATGATCCACAGCCTTTGCAAGATCCAAGAGCAGTGGCAAAGGCAAAGTGTGCAGCCAAGTCGCAGAGCCAGCCTAAGGCAAAGAGCAGACCCAAAGCAGCAGCGAAGAAAGCAGCAGCAAAGAAGAAGCCGGCACGCACCAGCAAGGCAGCGAAGCGGGAAACGCGCAAGCCCAACATGAGCTACAACCATGTGTACAGCCGTGTCTACCGCCAACAGTTGCGGAAGAATGCAACCTTGGAGGAGGCCCAGGCATGTGCCCGGGAAGCTGCCCGAAAAGCAGCTGCTGAAGTTTAGAAGACCTGATGGTGCCAAAAGACGCATCTAGGGGTGTGGTGCGCATAGAAAAGGATGCGATGGTCCATGTGCAGGGGCATGATGGTGGGACATGGAAAGCTTGGAGGGAAGTGCTGTTTGCTCTTGGTTGAGGTGTTGGTTAGGGTGGGTGACTCTTTATAGCTATTGGCGGCTTATATAGCTATGGCATACGGCGGTTTTTCGGCCCATACCATATACCGTGTTTAAGAAAGGCTATAGGCAAACGATCCGGACCCGACGATGCGCTGAGACTTCTCCGACCAACCCGACGGTGAGGACGTTGGTGACGTTGCGCGGCCCCGCGGGGGGCGGGTCCAGCATTCGACCACTCGGTGGGTCCGAGCCCACCGGTCATAGTCTTTCACTGAAGCCCAGCCCAGCCCTGCAGAGTCATCTCGCTTCAAGATGTCTCCTTAAGGGGCAAAGTCCTTTTACTAAGGCACCCCTTTGCATTCCGTAGCCTGCTTTCACGGTTGTCCCCCTCAACGGACGGATCGAATGTGGAACGTCACCAAACGAGATGCCCCAACGAGAAAACAACGTTCGCGGCTCTTTTCACTGTCACGCTCGATGGTGCAGGGTCACTCGTGTGGCAACCAGCCAAGCACGGAATGGGTTCTTATGACCTTCAAATAAATCCGAACACGCTCGGCATTTCTCAGAATTGGCATGAATTGTCATCCAAAACACACCGCTGTGTGGTCCAAACATAAACAACCACAATCTCCCAAATTCAGTACCTTTCCATATTGATCTGCGTGGGATTGAAATTGGATTGGGGTGTGCAACAAGGGCTCCAACTTGACACCCCAGGCGCGCTTCAACGGCATGAGACACCTGCCACCCAGCTGTGCTGTGCCACGCGGATCGCGCGGTGTAAGCCAGGCTATGTTTGACTAATATTGACTAGTGTTCAGAAGTTTCTGGCGTTGCTGGTCACAAAGAACCTTCACCCTTAAGGTCTTTTCCAGCTCATCCATTTCTTGAAAGAATCGAGCCAGTCCTGCCTGGTAGACTTTCCGGTCAACATGTGTCAACCCTTCGATATCCTTCTGAACGCTTGCGTTGTAGTCGTCCACCGTGTCGCTGTAGGTGTGCTTGTGCGTGATATGAAGCGGAACAAAGGCCTCCCAAGCGGCCACGTCTTCGCAGTTGCAATGACTCGGCAAAAAGTTCCTCACGGACCGCGGCGCGCAAGCCGGAGGGGGGCGGATGACACAATTGAATTTTTGACTGGCTTGTTGCGTGTCTTCATGGGAAATATATGTAAAGATGGTGGAATTGCATATATTGCATGGAATTGCTATAATTGAAGGACGTGCCGGAGTACCTTTGTCACCGGTTTCAAAATGAAGGAAGCGTAGAGCAGTCAGTGCGCCTGGCGCCGATAGTGATCGTGTTACGCCACCGGAATGCGCAGGGTGTCACATGTCTTGAACATGGGTCGAACGAACCCGCAAAAAAATCAACAATAGGTTTGGGGCTCCAGCTCCGCACCAGTGGATTCTATCGTTTCTCTTGGATTTAGGATGTTCCGGTTGTCTTCACTCACCCACGCCTCAACTTCCAAGCGAAAAGGCAGATGCTCTCGTGATAGGCCTCCACGAGCCCGATGACGCTGGCAGAGTGAAGGATTTCCATCGGTTTCTGCACGTGGATGTTGACCGGATGGTCTGTCTCGTCAGCGCAGGTCAGTTGACGGCTTGTAGGATTCCGGGGATCCGAGCAGTGATACCTCTCCTGAAGATATGCCTGGCCGGGTGCGAAAGAAACCAAACTAAAGAACATCCTACTTTGGATCCCATCGTCAGGAATTCACTAGTTGATATTATCACCAAAAAGATCCAAAAAGGATATCTCGCGCGAAAACCCAAACAAACACGCTCGGCGCATTGTCTCCTGAGTGTAGAACTGCTTCGGTGCATCCTGCTTCCACGACTTGACCCATGTTGCGAAGTCAGGAAGAGTGAATCCTGGTTGACCCTGAGCAACGCCCAGCTTTTGACGGTGATGGAGTTCAAGTGGCCCTGGCTGTAGGCACTGATGGTAGATGGACAGAAGGTGGTCGTTCGGACGACGAAGCATCAAAACCGTCTTTTCAAACCTAGGCTGGAGAGAATGACCGAGGTACCAAACTGCCTAACTAACAACCCGGGCAACAAGTGGATGTCTAACTTGTTTCAAGTGAAAACACACTACAAGTATGTACAAGTACTAAGATATAAGTGCAACGCCTGAGAAAATGATGCTCCTCAAGGTGCGGCCCAAGAGACTTGGCTTGAGTCGACCTGTCCCAGCACACCTGCCCGGTCCAAATCTTGTCTCGCCCGACCAGCTTGGACAGGTCTCCGACGATGGAGCAGCCTGCGACCTTCGGGATGTGGATGAGGAAAATCTCACGATCATGAAGTCTTTCAAGGCCGTCCCAACACCAAGAAGCCTTGGACAGTGGATCTGAAGGAGTCAGTTCAGGAGACCTGGAGCCCCTTTGGTGAGGTGTAGGTCTCCCTTGCTGGATGTCTTCCCTGGTGGTACCTCCAAATGGCTGGTTCTTGAGAGAAGTACACCATGCCAAATCGGGTCAGACCATTTTCCTCTACGAACAGGTGGTCCATCCACTTCGGGAGTATAGAGTATAGAGGTCGTGACGGTCAAGTGATGTGTCCGGAGCTGGAGCACCAGCTGGACCCCAACTGGGACAAGCCAGAAAAGCTGTGAACTTGCGGCATGTTAGGGGAGTTGTGTATTGGATTTCCATTTCACCTTCGAAGGGTATCTCAGGTATCTCCTACAAATGTGCACCCGAAAACCATGGGTGCAACCCAAACCTATTGATTTTCGCTCTTAGGTTGGAGGCCATCGCTCTTAATTAGGTTGGAGGCCATCGCTCTATTTTGTCTTCCTTTTGCAGGAGAGCGGGACACCTTCAAAAAGCCCGGTTTCTTTGCCGAATGGGCGGCATGAAGACCCCAAAGCCGTCCAAGTAGCCCACTGTGACGCATTGGCATCAGCTACCCCAGGCCGCTTGAAGCTTGGCAGCTGGAGCAAGGAGTAGCGGTCAGCGGCTGCGTTGGCCAGACTGACCACGAATAGAATAAAGATGTGTCCCATGCAACACACATGAAAATAACACTTTGATCGCGATGTGTCGAGCTTGAGCCCACGCGGTTCCGCCAAACACATCCGAATGCCTCAACCAGTTATGCCCTACTGCGGGTTCCACTACTGTGTTCTACACCCTCAGGTCCATGCGAAAGGTAAAGACCATTCTGAGGGTGTAGAACATTCTCAGGACTTGCTACATGCAGTTCTCAGGTCTATAAAGACCATTCTTCAAGCAGCTCCCTCTGGTCCTTCTCTTCCTTGAAACCTTTCAGCTCCTTCAACTCAGCCTGGGACAATTCTTCCTCTTCTGCACTTCTTTGCGAGTCCTGGAAGGTGGGGATTGTGTGCGAAGGGAAACCTGCCCTCAAACAAACGACGAAGTATATAATATAGCTAAGATTTTACCAGTAAGGCTCCAACGGTGATTTGGAGAGTCTGTCGCTACCTTCTGAGATGGTGCCAACGTAGTTTGGTTGAGTGAGTACATTCATGAAGTACACTCCGGCTCACTAACATGGAAGTGGACAACACCGCTGTTTGTATAGGAAAATAGTTTTCCAAGGGACCATGCCATCCACTTCCATGTGATGTGTTCGTCAAAGGGTATCCACTTCACACTTTCAAGCTAGTCTCGGGACCGATGTCAGTCACGGAATGATCGATCCAACCACTGTCCGACCTGAGACTTCGGTGCCCTAAAGCCCGTCCTGCTGGAACAAATAGTCCAAGGCTGATTGAATGCTTGAGTCTCGGTTGCCTAGCCTCTTGTTCAAGGTGCGGATGGCATCAAGGTCCTGGCCAGCGTTATTTATTTGTTCTTTTGATCGCATCTCAAAAACTTAAGGCCTCGGTACCCAATACACATCCAAACATACGGCCCTAGTAGCCCAAATCGCAAGGCATCTGCCGTACAGCCGTACCTACTGGACATGTGAAGCCGTTCAACTTGATCATCTTCATCGTCCCCGGGCTCAGCGGTGGTCTCGCGTGTCGGCGAAGCCGGACGAAACGCGGAGATGCGTGGTTTGGAGCACCTCCAAGCGTTGCATCTCCGACTGCACGTCCACCGCCTTCTGCTCCAAAGCCTTCATTTGATCCTGCGCGGGTGGCTGGGACCCTATGAAAGGACAGTTGCTCTCTATGAATTATGTTTAAAAAATACCGTTTGTAGCATAATCAGCTATGGGTGCAAGGAGTTGAGTTGAAAATGTTGAAAGTGAGTCTTGGCACTTTGCGCCAATCACAGCACGTTCTGCGAGAAGTGGCTCACATTGCTCAGAACTCCATGCGTGGGCATCCTACAGTTGTTCGGTCTTTGGTACAAATACATGACGCACAGGACACGCTGCATTCTCGGTTGTGTTGGGGGGTTAGACTTCTAGAAGGTAACCTCTGGTCTATTGGCACTGCAATGGCAATTTCAGGATTCCGTTCGGACACCTTTTGCCCATTCTGTGTCCTGAGCTGCCTCTTGCTCTTTCTCCTGCTTCAGCTGCGATTCCATGGCGTCTGCATCTTTCCATGCTTCGTAAGTACCTTATTCAAGGACACACAAGAAAAAACAAGTTCCCTCTAAACTTTAAGCCAAATGACACCCACAGTTACCGGGGCTGGTCGGTTGTATGTCGGTTGTGTAGAATCGTTTAACTTTTCCAGCAACTTCCTCAAGAAGTCCCTGGTTCATCCGGTGGTCTCATTTCCAGCGCTCAGAATGCTGCTCTTTGCTCTTCACTGCCAGGTACGCTTTCCACCCGACTCCATCGTATAGTCAGAGTTTTTAGGATCTGTCTTGAATGTGAACTCTGACCAGCAGTGCCGGCAACGGCCATAGAAGCGGTAGACCTCAGCTGCTGAGGAACACACGCTGCGTGCTGACAGCAGGACCCTCATTTAAGCGGCCAGGGGCATCATTTATCATCATAATATGCCGGACATAATGTCACAAGGTGAGTCGGGATGGAACACGAAACTTCGCTCTCTCTCTCTCTCTATGTGTGTGTGTATGTATATATATATATAATTATATATATATATATTAGGCCCGCTAGGGTTCATAATGAGACTTCACCATGTCACCGTATGCAAACACATCCTACAAGAACAAGCGTTGTTGTTCTAAACATGTCTTGTCTTAACTCTGGCCGGTGTTCAGGCTGCACCCAGCTCAAACAGTTTGGACACGCAACCATCATATATATATTATAAAATAAATATAAATAATATATAATCTGTATCATCTGAAGACATTGATATTTCCGAGTGTCCCCCTGCTGCAACCCAACCTATTTATGGGAGAGCGCTGGAGGTGTCTGCCTGGCCTGGAGCCCAAATTACGGCTAACGACAGCCTGAACGAACGGAGCGGGGTTCAAACGACCGCAACGAACGAACCGCGGTCGGAGCCACCTTGAGGCCGAGGTAGCTCTCACCCTTGATTTGCTCAGTCTTGGCCGTAAACTTCGTACCTCCAAGGAGCGCCGTTCGGCGGTCGGAAGCGCGTGTTTCCCAGCGCCAAGTTCGCAGAATCGATAGTTCTACCACCGACCAAAAGACCAACCCATTCACCGAAGTCCTCCTGTGTTCAGTCTTTGCCGGTCTTTGCTTTATGGGAAAACAAGCTTCTTTCACTTGAAGATGTCCGCTGGTAAGTCTAAGTGGCTCCAGCCATGAGAAGAAGGCTCTGGAGTGTTGTTGGGAGGTTAGCTTGGAAGCGGTACAGTTCTGGAGTTTGGCTAATGGAGAATGATCATGCTGGTCCAGTCGCGGTATGTTCATTTGTTGAAGCCGACGGGAGCAAACACAGTTTGCAAAGCTCCAAAGTCTACTTGCATTGATGTGGAACATCTGACCAAGCCTGGCTGGGTACTGAATGTATTACCTATGACTCCCAGGTTGTGTATTCTTTGATCCCAGTGCAAATGTCCAGTTCTTAAAGCGTGAGCATCAGTTCTGTTTGGCTTTGCATTTCAGGTCAACAAAAAGCTTTTGGGTGCGCCCCACAGCAGCTTGTACAGCTTCACAGCCTGAGAGAGTGTAAGCTATCACCCAAGAGGGTCCCCACTCAGAACTCGTCACTGCTCCGACTTCGAGAGGATGTCCCAAAGCTTTCCAAAAGCTCGACCACATCACCATGACCACCATGCCCTCGAACCCCTTTCTCGAACCCACTGAAGATTTGGGAGAGAATTTGGTGCAAACACGTGGCCTGTGTAGTTGTACTCCTTGCAGGAGTCACACACCATGGTGAAGGGGAACATCATGCGAATGTTCATCATCTGAGGCCCCTTTGGCTTCAAAGCCTGTGCGCGCACAAGTCACATGTCCACGCGGGAAGAGGTGCGGTGCGTGTTCTTTTTGAGGTGTATCGTCTAGTCTATTCACACCTAAAATCAACAGAAAATAGAATCAAACACTTAGGTGCCATCGTCCCAGCATTCCCAAATACAGGCTGGATCTTTTAAGTGTGGCAACCGAAAAGCTCGATAGATTGATCAACTTTTAACATTTTTTGTTCTCAATTACTAGATTTCTTGAAAAAGGAGCGGTGATCGAATGCCGTTTGGTGTCCAGTCCTCAAACCTTTTCAATGCGTCTCCAAACACATTACACCGCCACCACTAGACCCTGTGCCTCATAAGGGCCATATCCTAAAGTAATCACGTGCCGATGTTCTGCCAAAAACTCTGCGTTGTATAAGCGGTCCCATGCCAACTGTTGATATCTTTGCTTGACCCCACATCGAAACACCGATGATCAACCAGCCGAAAACGGTTATATAGGTGACCCGGTGACCCTGTGAGCCGTTTGCTGGTGTTCTTCGATTGAAGCAAACGTGAACCAGGTACATGTTTAGCCGCAAACGGCTTGAAATGTCGCGTTCACATCCTTTTCCAAAGCACAACAGCCCTAGGGTTGCATGTGCTGGGCCGAAATGCCCTCGTCGTCTGCGTTCCTGTGTCCCCATTGAATCCCTTCAATTGCCTTCTTGCACAGGTAGGAACACCCAGAGAAACGGGGGGCGCATAGATATATATATATATAGATATGACGTCGGCGACGCGTGAGTGTCAGGTCGCTAGCCAATACCCCTAGTAGCGTCCGATCGCTCCGTTCGTAGCGATGCCAGGAGCCCATGGTAGCGTCCGATCGCTCCGTTCGTAGCGATGCCAGGAGCCCATGGTAGCGTCCGATCGCTCCGTTCGTAGCGATGCCCTTTGCTCCTAGTAGCTTCTTGTTCCTAGTAGTAAGGCCAGCCCCTGGTAGCGTCCCTGCTCCTAGTAGCGATGCCCTTTGCTCCTAGTAGCTTCTTGTTCCTAGTAGTAAGGCCAGGAGCCCCTAGTAGCGTCCCTGCTCCTAGTAGCGATGCCCTTTGCGCCTAGTAGCGGGGTATCCAAACCGTTGAGCTTCACAACTTCACCCGTGAGGATGGTCCCCCAGGACCTTCAAAGGACCTTCCAGGGTGAAGGAAAAAGGGGGCCGCCCATTAAAGGTCACTTAGAAACTCCAAAAGGGGCCACTTTGAAGGTCCTGGTTGTTTTCTTTGGAGGCACCTTTTGTGGATGCTAGGAATGAACACTCCGGGAACTTGTGTGGCCTGTCGAACGCCGATTTCTGCATCGAATCCCTTTGAGCCCCTGGACCGGTCCACACTTCGGTTTGGTGTCCGCTTGGCGCTCCGCTTGGCGGAGACGCACCAGTCACGGTTGAAGACGGAGACGCACCGCAGTGCGACGCGAGCCGACTCCCCTCCGTACCGGTGTCTCGCCCGCCTTCACGGGCATCAACTTGGAAGCATCGAAATCTGGGGGGTAGTAAACACCAGCTGTGAAGGTCCAGCCTGTCGGGGAGTGTTGCGGAGTCACCACTCTGTGGCACAGTTGAGGCTGGGGCCGCTAGCAGTTGAAGCTATGCTTGCTCCATTGAGCGGTGACTTTCTGACTTTATGGACACGAGCTTTTTGTTGCGAATTGATTGCAGCCAAGGCACCTACAAAGGCGCTTTTCATGAACTTGGCCGACATGGTGCCGTCTGCCATGGCTGATCCAACTGAAGGGCCGCCGCTGTGGGCGTCTTACTTTCGGAGGAGCAATCTGTACAAGGCTCAGCGGCTGAAGTGGAGCTGCGGTTGGGCAAAAGTTAAAGCACTTCAAAAAAAGTATATAATTACCAACATGAAACGTTGTTTTCACATGTTTTCACAACCATCCGGGAACCAAAACACTGTCGAAGAGTTCAAATCTGAATTGGTCAACATGTAGGAATGTCCCATCTGTACCTTATCTATCTTAGATATGTATCCTTCTATTGCCTGGAGCGTGATTTTGGCCAGGGTCCTGAGAAGCCACGCAGTCAACCGCAGTCAACCTGACATACTAATCGATAACCATCGCAAAATCGAATTTGTTGGGTTCAAATGTTCAAAGGATTGAAATGCTGTTTGGAGTGGATATTGGGTTATGGATTGGCGTCGGCACACGGTTCAGTAGAAAGGCACAAAGTTACGCCGACTGCCACAACTTAAGCAAACTGTAAACCCAAACGCTGCCAACTCTTCAACGAACTGTGATAGCACCTAATCACTGATCACCAAAAAAAACTCTAGAGGCATGCATATGTCTGGATCACTTTGAAAAACGATCTACCTGTTTTGAATCCACCTGTGATCGCCTCTTCCCCACCTGCTTCACGGTGCCCCCCTCCGCAGAAACCGCTGCGCACAGAACCACATCTGGACGAAGTCCAGCTCTTTGGCAATCTTCCAAGAGCACTAAGGTGGCCTCAAATGCCAAACGATGTGGAAAGTGCAAAACAACGTGCTCTGGTGGTGTCCTCCCATCATCACGGGAAGTTCAGTATAAGCAATGAAATCCCGCCGTTCAAAGTAAACCCTACACACAGGTCAAGCAGTCATGGATCCCCTTCTACTTGTCACTAGCTCATGCGGGTAGAGCACTCAATGACGCACAGGACCAGGTTCTACTAACCTATCCGCTGGCAGTATAAATATACTGGGCTGACTGGGGCCTGTAGGGAAAGAATGATGATTGACCCCCAAATCTGTGCATCTGGCCATGAAACACCAGTGAGTCCGGCCCCAATCTCCAGCTGCACTGCGATAGGGACGGAGCGTCCCTTCGTACGGTCCAAAACGGATCGGTCGGGATGCAGCGGTCACTGGAGTGGGTGATTGTTGGATGTTTGAGAGGGGCGACCCAGCGAAGCACATCTGCAATACATCCTGTCGAAGCGTTGTGAGAAAACATTTTCTTGGACAAGTTCCCACCCCCTGCAGGAAAAGGACCAACCCATCACTGAGACCGATGGATCCAGCCTGCCAGCGCCCCAAACGTTCCAGACCCGATGCTGCAGCACTGAGTGCAATCAGATTGCACAATCGCTGTGCCTGCATGCTGCATCATGACTCTCCGGAAAATTTGTTAACGATCATCACTAGGTGCGTGAACATAGACTCATGCAAATGTGAATGGATGTGAATGGTAAATGCAATAAAGTAGAATATAGTTGCAATACAATGAAATATGATGAAATTATGGTATACAGTAGCTTCATGTATGTTCCAATATGGCATGTGAATTTATAGAAATAACAAATACATGACATATATATAATATATAACACATGCTGATGTCTTGGGACCTGTCAAGAACCACGGCACGTATTTTCAAACTACATATGGTATATACAGTAATCGTCGAGTGCTGTTTTGAGGGCTCAGGCAAAATCGGACCATCAACATGGGTTTGTTTTTCTGTCTTCAACCTTGCAAAGTTGCAACACATTCGCCAAAATCGAACAAACTTGTTGATGCACTGTGGAATTTCCGGCGGATCTTCGCCAGGAGTGGCATTTTACAAATTCGCTGCGGATCTTGAGAGAAGGACCGTGCAGGAGTGCGTGAACAAAGCACATTTTCACCATGCCTCTATTTATGGTGCAATATGTTCAATTGTTTATAAGTTATGTTCCATCGGTTTGTACACTGTTGGTGGTGCGTTTTGCTGTCACCACGAACGGCTCTGGAGAACTGCGCGGAAGCTCCCACAATCTCCCGCGACGCAACAGCGGCGCAGTGCGTCGTGAAAGGAGAACACACCGCTCGCCTGCATCACAGTCAGCATGTGAAGTGACTTCTGCCACCGCAATCCTGGCAAAAGGATGCGAAGCGCAGAAACCCAGCCAGAAGCATCGGACACATGACGCTGCTACCGTCGCTTTTGGCTGCTCACGAAGCAGCAAGTCTGAAAAAGATCCAAGACAACCACGGAATCTTGTGGATCCACTCAATGGTGTTCAACCATTGGACATTCCGAATGAACGATCCATGACAAAAAGGACCCCGATTCCTGTCAGAAAACTGTCACAAAGGAACAAGGCATGGGTTCCAAGTGGTTCCAAGGTCCATCTCTTAAGCTGACTCCACCGGTTTCCTTGCAAAGTGGCATTGAAGCCTTTTGCTTAGCATTTCTTCAGTTTTCGGCATGCAGCCCAGAACTTCCAGCACCAGTGGACAATGCCTGGACCTGGCAGGACTTGGATAAGGTACTGCGGACCCACGTAGACTGCCGCGCTCTTGATGACGTGTAATTATATAGTGGCATCCTGGTGGGGCGCCTGCCAAGACATAAGAAAGGAGACCCAATGGCCTGCATGGCTTAGCCTTCCTAGCCTTCCTCAAAACACAAAACAATGACAAGGTGCCAGGAGAAGGGGCCGAGAACTCAGTGTCTCTCGGCCCATCCACTCTCCAAGCTGCGCTCTTTTTCTCAGTCAAAGACTTGGCAAGCTGGGTGTATGAGGCCCAGGGATCTGTGTCGCACAAATCACCGACATGGCCAATAAGAAACCCTTAGAAACCCCAGTTTTAGGGAGGCGGGCACCCACTGGAAAACAGTCATATCACAGGAATGCACTGCGGTCTAAAGAAACATGCATGTTGTCCAAAACAAGATGCATGAACAACAGGGCTTCAATTTCCCTATTCCAAAGTAAGAACAGGGACGCAAACCTAAGCCCAAACAAACAGAACACAGGACCGAAGGCAGAAAGGTGCCCGGAGGCCCAGGGGTTCACCAACCCACCAAGAAGAAGGGGGAAAACAAAGCAGGTGACATTAAACCCCGATCCAAACATCTTGAGACCTGGGGACCGTTCTCAACACAGGTGCCTACAATTAAGCAACGACATAAACATCAACAAGAGTTTGGTGCGATGTTTCTGCTGACTGAGGTAAGCAGAGCCACACGCTCTTTCTCCGGTCGGACCAACGAAGTTCTCCGGACGCGGGAACCATCAAGGCGGAGTGCTCTCGAGGCTTCGCACCACGGACGATGCCGGGGAGAGACGCATTGGCATGTTGGACCGCGGAACATGCATGTGGCACCGGTGGAGACTGACCACGATGTGGAGAAATCAACCATGTCTGGCGTCATCCTGCTGGCCTTTGGAACACCTGCAGGTGTTGGGCCCCGTCTGGGTCTTCAGCTCGTATCCACTGGCATCGAAAAACATGGTCACTACTGCCGGAAGCCTCGCCCAAGGAAACCAAGTGGATGTCGGCATCAACTTCATCCACTGCAGCGGACTGTCACTTCTCGGCCGACAAGGGGTTTCCTCTGACGCCCGCAAACGATCCGATGGACGAAATGACCCGTGCTTTTCGACGTTCATCTACACCCCGCTGTGCCGGTTTCACGTGGTCCGGGTCAACGTTCCAAACCACGACTCCGTTCGACATTGGCAGATCTGGTGCCAGGCCGAGCCCGAAGACACAAAGATCGATAAAGGCGTGGGCCATGTTCCAGCTCTTCATGTGGTGGAAAGGCCGTCCTCCTGTAAACATCATATCAAGTTTATGATGGTTTGTTCATGTTCGTTCATGTTTCTTGTGGTTCTGCTCTTGAACTCAAGCCAGCGGTTCCAAGAGTTTACACCAGAATAAACGGCTAAGAGCTTAAACATGATTAAACTCTAGTGAAAAACCGTCCCTCTCCGCATCTCGCCTCTGGCCATGGCACTGATGACGGTGCTCTGGGCCATGACGCGTTCGGTCAGCTTTAGTTGCCTCGCCCGGTTGGACTGGTTGACCCAGAATGATGCTTGAAGAAATGCATCGTAACTGTAACCAAAAGGACATCATGAAGGCATGACATGTCATGACTCGAGAAAAAAATCCCAGAAACTCATCAAAACAATTCACAAACGAGGTGTCGGCATAGCCTCATACACACATATATATATATATGGTACCCCCCCAAAAAAGAACCTATGTTCACCT